ATAAGCGAGGAATAACGAGGGCTAACTGCCATTAGATTTTCCCCTGTCTCTCTCTCTCTCTCTCTCTCTCTTTCTCTCTCTCTCTTTCTCTGTCTATCTCTTGTTCTCATTCGTATCCAGTACCGTCCACTGACCTCTCATCGGGAAAACAAAATATTCTATTATAATAGTATAAATTTCTCAATCGAATTCTATAGAGGACCATGTTAGGAATATCTAACTCAATATAATATATACGTTTTAATTAAATAGATATATCGAGATGAAAGGAGAAATTTCGATATCTTGACTAATATAGAAGTTCCCTGATGAGTAACGAAATCACTGAGAATATACATACATATACATATACATATACATATATATATACATACATAACTATATTATAATATACATGTATATATCTCGCAAGGATATCTTGAAATGACGCGGGGTAGATTCGAGGGTCTAGGGATAGGGATAAAGGGCATGAGCGCATTAGAATTCCGGAGACATTTCGTGCGGCGATAGAGCGCTGGGTATACTCGTATTCACAGTGCGTTTTGAGGGCTGTCGCTACAATCGCGGTTAATTACTACCATATTCATGTACACGATACGCATTGCTTAGTCAAGAGTGCGAGAGCATGAGAAAGAGAAAACAAGAGAGAGAGAGAGAGAGAGAAAGAAAAGGAGAGAGAAGGCACACGACGCGCCTACTAATCCAGCTCGCAGATGCGACTGTAATTCGTTAGTTGCTCAGGACACGTCTATTGAATTAACGCTGGGTTTAATTAAATCGCCAAGGCAAACAATTTCGAGAGCATGAGTTTAAAGAGAAGTATATATATGTATATGTATATATATATATATGGATAGAGATGTATTCTTTCTCTTTCTCTCTCTCTCTCTGTCAGTAGCATCGGTCAATGTCTTTTGTATTTTCTTTTCCATAATCATATTTTATTGTTCTTATCTTACTTTAAAACAATGTCATTTAAGCTTCCAAATGTGCAACAGCATCCCCAGTTAGCTTCGTCATTCTCAGCACATTATTAATACTTTTTCTTTTAGAGATTATCGTTAAAAACTTTAATCGAGTATGATTATCCACTTTGATTAAAGCAACTTTGACAGCTCTGGAATGCATGTAGTTTGTAATTGTTTAAATCCGTATTACATGAATCGACGGAAAGCGAGTAAAGCTTTCGCTTCAAAGCTTTGTTTATCTCCATACATGTATTATATATACAGTGTGTTTCATGTAACACTTTTCACGATTTTTCATGTATTTACGATAATCTGACAAAAAAATATTCTAAACAAAAGTTGTTCAGTTTTCGATTGGTTATAGATTGTAAAATAAAAAAAGTGTTACGTGGGACATCCCGTATATACGCACAATACATACACATATATTCAAATATGATTTGTTTTACTTTCTTTCTTTCTTGCTTTCTCTCTCTCTTTATCATGATATGTTTCAACGACATAATTAGATATACCGTTCGTCGCTTCGACGAAAAACACAGAAAGTGAGTTTCAGGTGCGTAAAGAACAATACTATAGTAAATTAACGAGTTCGATATAAACGGACGCTTCTTCCTATCTATATGCAACTCTCTTAGTAGTTGATGCTTTTACGAAAGTAATTGGCTTGCTATTAATTGTAAGTGTGTAATTACTTTACTGCCAATCTCTCTCTCTCTCTCTCTCTCTCTCTTTCTCTCTTTCTCATTCTCTTTCATTCTTGTTCTTGTTTCATATCAATTCGAGGAATCGATTTTCCCGCATTTCCTAACACAGTATACAAAACTATCAACGATAAGTTTGTTACAAGTCAATGCACGTGTCGCAAGAATATTATTTTGTTATATAGAAAATAAAAATAAAAAAAAAAAAATATATAAATTTATATTCAGGATGAATTCTGGTTCAGGGCGTCGATGTAACCGTACGATAATCGATTGCATAGTATCGACATTATCAAATACGATGACAAGTTATTTTCCGACTGACAGATGTCAAACGAGTGTCCATTGTTTTCATCGAGCGGATGGATGCTGCCTACCTGCCTGCCTGCCTGCCTGCTGGCCATCTTTCTGTGCTTGGAGTAATCCATCGAACGTAACGTAATTCATCAGTGTAAAAATCGATTTTGTTGTATTTGGAGTGAGGGGGAGGAGTCTGTGTCTGTGTATATACATTTACAAATACTTTTGTATTTTATCGTATACAAAAGTGATTCAAATAAAATCTTACAAGATGCTGTTTTTACTTGAAGATTAATAATAGTAAGAAAAGGGCATAATCTCTTAAAGGATTACATATTTATTCGAACGTATATATTTTGGTAAAAAAGTGTCTTATCAATTTCTTACAAACGGAAGGTGATACTAATTTTGTGCTATTCAAATAGCTTTCATTAAACTGAATATTATTTACTTGAACCATTTTTTAAAAAATTAGTCCTCTTGTCCAGTTGAATTACTGCAAAAATAAATTTGATGTTTTTATTCGCGTTTCTGACCAAAAAATTTGTTAACGATTTGTTTGAATCATTCTTTATATATATATATATATATTCTTATTTGTATTTTTTGTTATTAAAACAATTTAACTCTCTCGCGCGCAAGTAAAAATGTACGCCGTGATATCGTTCGTTTATTCGATACTTTACTACAACCTTCTGGAATAACATTACTCATGGCCGTCAAAGTAAATTATTTTTCCAACATAAGAGTACTTCAGTACAGCGAGTGTTCTGAAAAATGGTTCTGTCGATGCGGTAAACGCTTCTTCTTCTTTTTTTTCTCCTTCTCCTCCTCCTCCTCCTCTTTCTACTCATCCACCTTAACCTCCTTTTCCTTCTTCTTCTTCTTCTTCTTCTTCATCGTTTTATCGAACTCTCGTTTAAACAAATCACGCTGTTATTACGGCATTAGCAATACGAACAGGCAATTTTATCTGTCATCGATAGTTACCAAACGTTTTGTCATTCATTTTGAAGTGTCTTTACGTTAGTTATTTCTTAACGATAAATCTTTTATCACGTTACAACATAGAAATATCTATTAACTACAGAATAGTAAAGGAAAAAAGGAAGAAAGAGAGAGAGAGAGAGAGAGAGAGAGAGAGAGAGAGTATGTTAGAAGTGAGAGGTTCAACCTCATTCACGACTTAACGGTGTACGCGACTGATTTTCGGCTCAGACCAGAATCGTAAAAGTGGTCATATTGGTGCTCGTAAAACACGATCCTACATCGACGTGCGAGGGTCGAGGCCAATTAAAGTCGCCAGTTGGGAAAGAGTACTTCGAGAAGAGGGAAAGGAAGAGATAAATAAGGATACAGAAAGAGAGAGAGAGAGAGAGAAAGAAGAGACATACAGAGAGAGTTGAACAAAGTGGGAAGATAAAAGAGAAAAATGCAGACATGTTAGTCGTAGAGTAACAAGAAGAGAATAAGAAGATTGGTTGATTTTAATTATGTTGTATATCGAATAAGCTGACTTTTCTCTTTTCCTCTTTTATTTTCAACTATTATACATTACTATCATTCATAAATTTTTACGTTCTTTTAAAATTACTTTATTAAATCCTTTATTTTTGTGTTAACGTTTTTTAAAACTATAACAGAAATTTTGTTCAATATTAAAAACACATTTTGATAGTAAATTAAAAAGATTATGGAAAAAGAAAGATGAAGGATTGTTATAAAAAAAACAAAAATTTATCCTCATATTCGTCATATTTTCTCATCCCTTCAATTATAGACGTATATCATCCCGTATTCAAGGACAGTTTCATACTCGGCGGTATTTCATTTTCCCGTTCCAGATTGGTCCCTTTAAAGTTCGAGTCGTTAAACTTTTTAATAGCTCATCAAATAATACAGTTACCGTACGCGTATTTATCTCGTAAAGTAGATATTCAGTTGGAAAATTTCTCGTTATTTAGCGTTGATTGTAAGAAGAACGGTCGCATTTACCAACGTTAGTAGATATCGTGTAATTCATAATTACTATAGCTTTCGCGTAAGATCTTGGTCGATCAATCCGTGTCGGTATTACGTATATACTTATCTCTAGGTTATCCTTAAGACGTTGCCGGTGGCGTTTAGTTAACGAAGGTTTCGTATTTCTAAAGGGTACAGATAATCATGGGATGAATTTTAAAATAGCTTTACTAAATACCGGTATAACGTTCACGTTAACTCGGAAGCGTTAACCCTTCTATCTATCTATCTATCTATCTATCCATTCCACTCCACTATCTCTATCTCCCTTTCTAAAATTCAGTTTATCAATTATTTCTCATTAACGAGTAGCTCTCGAAAGCTTTAAATATTTCAAGAAGCTTTGCTTGCGAATCTCGGTAAGCGAACTCTCCACGAGTTCTCTCGGTATATCAAATCAACGATGAGTAAGGTACATATATACCGCTTAATTAAAGGACAAACATGTTGTTATCCCCATAAGCGTAGATGAGGTTATTATGAAACTTATAGGAAAAGGCAACGTGCCGTTTTCGTTCTTACTCTTCTTATTCTTCTTCTTCTTGTCGAAGCCGAAGAAATGCGCTAGCTGGTTGATTGGTTGGTTGGTTGGTTGCTTTGCATCTTATGTAGAATGAAGGAAGGAAGGAAGGAAGGAAGGAAGGAAGGAAGGAAATTCTACTAGATTCTGAGCAACATCGTTTTCCACCTCGCTTCTGTTTCCCTCTGCTAAACGATCGCGAATGTCGCCGAGGAGAGACTGCGAAATTAGCGAGAGAATAACGAGCGAACGTGCGTCGGAAACAACTTTGACGTAGCTACCTAGAGTACGCGCTTATTCTTACTAAGAATGCTTCGGGCTTGATAGTAGAGCTCGTAAATCGGGCTAATTCGCGTGAGAACGAACGAATGAACGAACGAACGAACGAACGAATTTTCGACTTCGCGAGTTAACGGATTAATGAGCTGAGTAATTCGATTATATTAGACTAACTATTAACAACTTTTTATATATTTTCTGTTTCAGAAGGATCCAATGAAAGGCATCGCCATAAGAATTCCAAGTCAGGATAAATATGTTCTTCTGGATGACCGAATAACCATTGGATAAACACGTAAGCTAAATGTTCATTAGATTTTTTTCAGTAATAGATTAAATTATAGGAAATCGATTAATGGTATTACAAAAATTATTAATTTTTTATATATCTGATAAAAGATTTTATAGTTTCAACATTTATTATATGAATAAATATGTTGCGTTTTACAAATAAAAAGTTCAAAGATATATATATTATAATTTTTACATATTTATCAAAGCCTGCAACGTGTACCGTTATTGATACACATGGCCAGGTAATATGATACTTGCTCAAACCGTTTACTAACAAATTAATCTATGAAAAGGGCAAAAAGTGAGACAAAGAAAAGAGATCGCCCGACGTGAGACTCGCCGTGTTCACTTTGCATTAAGATTCATGTTTCTGTAAAGTTGTTCGAGAAATATGAAACTTAACGCGAGGCGAGTACAGCGCCAGGGGTTTTCTTTATGTAGAAAATTTGATGGAGAATTAATAAAGCGCGAAGGAGAGTGGAAAGGGATGAAATAAAAGGTATATAGTATAGCCTTGCATTGACGATAAGAATAGCTAGAGAAAGAGAGAGAGAGAGAGATAGAGAAAATAAATAAAAATAGTACGGTCGTGCTATAGTAGTGGATCGTAGGAAAGAGGAATACATTTGCGAAAGCGAAGGAACGAACGAACAAACGAACGACACGATGCCCGTGTATTTTAAAGTTTCCAGAGCAGTTAGATATACGAGGAGAAGCAAAGTCTTGAAGGGAATCCCGGTACGCGGTGGTGGTGGTGGTGGTGGTGGTGGTGGTGGTGGTGTCCCTGATATCTCGGGTCACTCACGAATTCATAGCATCTCTCTTTCTCTTTTTCCTTCTCGACCCTTTCCTCACTTCGCTACGGCCTCATCCCCCATCAGGCCGTTCTATTTCTCTCTCTCTCTCTCTGTCTCTCTCTCTCTTTCTCTCTTTTACTCTCACAGCCTATTTGTCTTCTTCCCTACTCTTTCTCCGTATGTAATTCGGTCGCAACAGCGCATACCGATTTAGTAATGCTCGCGAGGATTTTCCTTCGGGGCATGCTAGGGTTTTCATAAATTTTCAACAACGTCGTTCTTTCCGTTCCCTCTTTAATGACAGCCATAAGCGCCGTTATCGTACGAGACTACGAATTTTCAATCTTCACGATTTTACGTTTTCTTACATTTTCGTACGAAAGTAGAGAGATAAGACATAACGATTTCTGTGTATAAACGTTATATGTGCATTCATACATATATCTATGTGTGTTTGGGAAAAAGAGATAAAGAAAGAAGAAGAAGAAGAGAGAGAGAGAGAGAGAGAGAGAGAGACGACTATTTCAATGATTCTCTATGCAAACATTTATTCATCTCGACGATCACCGGTCTTCTACTTTTCTCGAAAAGGACTACCGTATTTATAAGCACCGTAAAATTCTTTACTTACGGTACCCGCTTTGTTTCAACTGTCACAGTCCACGAATGGGTTTTAATTAAGTTCCTCAAGATGAGTTTACGAAGGGTCATGAAGAAAGAGAAACAAAGAGAGAAATAGAGAGAGAGAGAGAGAGAGAAAAAAATAGGACAAGAAAAAAAGAAGGATAATAAATACTTCGGTAGTAAAATAATTACGATAATACTTGTATGTATTATACTAAAAAGGATTTGGGTCAATATCCTGGCGTGATTTGGCTTCTTTAACTGTACATATAGAAATAGACTTATATATACATACATCTACATACTTACAATCGATCGAAAGTATTCAACTTGATTTGACTGCGATTTCGTGGAACTGCTCGACCGTAGCAATCCTCCTATAGCCATTCAAACAGTGGTTACATGTAAAAGGATGATCGCTTCTGCGACCCAGATTAAGGTCTTGCACTTTCAAGAATAAGAGTCAGAAAGTGATAGATAGATAGATAGATAGAGAAAGAGAGAGAGGGGGAGACAAATCCGTATGTGTAATCGAAGCGTAACACTAAACTCCTTAGAAACTTCCCCTCTTATCTTTCCCTTCTCATTTTCTTTCTATCTCTCTCTTTCTTCTTCTTCTTCTTCTTCTTCTTCTTTATTTTACGTAATCCTAAAAATATCGATCGTATTTTCTTTCTTTCTCTCTCTCTCTCTCTCTCTTTTTTCTTCTTATTTTTTTCGAACATCCTAGATATGTCAATATATTCTTTCCCATTTCTTCATGAAGAATATTCATGCTCTCTTGTATTATGTATTATGCATTACGATCGTTTTGACATAGTGGCGAGAGACGTCAGAAAGAATAAGAAGGACGTTGCTCTAGTCTTTTACTTTTCTAGAGAGAGAGAGAGAAAGAGAGGATACACGCTTCCGGCATTTCTTTCGAGAAACGCGAGCCTCCCTACCGAGCCTTGATTTTTCTACCTTGTTGTAAATCGTACGTGCTACTTTGTGTGTGTGTGTGTGTGTGTGTGTGTGTGTGTGTGCACTAACCGCGCGTGTTCCCATTCGCGAAACGCTTCACAAAGTTGTGTGAGAACCAAGTGAAAACGGGCTTGACGAAAAGGGGAACACGAACCTTATATAGATACGTTCACATATATGTACATACATATACAATATATATATTTCTATGTATACGTATATATGTTTATAGAGGGATGTCCGCCCCGTTGAAAACTTAGCCCTCCTTCCCTCCCACTTTTTTCTCCCCTTTCCCCTTTCCCTTCCATCTTTTACTCTTGCTTTCTCTCTCTCTTCGTCTTTTCCTCTTTCACACGTTCACGAATTTGCTCTTTGACGAGACAGGAACGCGAGGAGTGTCAATATTGAAGAAACATAGTTGCAAAGGAGAAAAAGACAAAAGATAGAAGATCATTTTTCGTTTGTACCGAAACGAGAGAATCGCTCATCTTATACGACTTTTCTTCTCTCTCTCTCTCTCTCTCTCTTTTTTTATTTATTTCCTAGCCCCTTTTTCTTTATTTTTTTCTTGACGTTTCACCTTTTTCTTCCCGTACGAGCTGGTCGGTCATTATAGATATTCTTCTTTCTTGACTTTGTTCTTTTTTTTTGTTGTTTTCTTTTCTATTATGGGGCCCTCTTTAAATGCGCAATCGAAATAAATATTATAATATAATATATAATAATATAGGATATATATATATATAGGAAAAGTAATACGTTCAGCCTCGTTCGGTATTCTTTTTATTTACTCACCGAGAGCGCAGGTACTTTCCCGTCAAAGACGCAATAAACCCTCTCGGCATCGGTGAGATTTTTAAGTACCCGCTGGTTGTAAAAGTGCTTCCTGAAGTGTACCGCGTCGCAGATGTGACCCAGTTTAAATAAAAATATAAATTCACGTGACGCGAATATGCGTATAAGCGAGAACGAAGCGAAGGGACTCGTCGTTGGTTGGTCGGTGACGAAAACGGGGGTAGGGGCTATCTGTTTTTTTCTTTCTTCCTCTTTTTTGCCTTTCTTTCTTTTCCCGTTTTATACCTTCTACTTATTTACTTCCCTTTGTTCTTTTCTTCTTTTTGCTGCTGCAGGTTTTTTCTTTTTTCTTTCTTTTTCTTTTTTCTTTATTTCCTTTTAGTTTTCTATCTCCCCGTCTCCCTGTTTCCCACTTTTTCTTTCTCCATGTACGATTCCCAACGGCATAGACGTAGTTAGTTATGTCACATGGCTTGCATTTTAAAGAAGCAATGAGAGAACCACCGACTAACGACGCGTACATACTCAAACAGACGAGCTTTCTCCCTTCATCTCTTCACCCACGTACTTCGAGCAAAAGGTTACGTTTTGTCGTTTTTGCGGGAAAATGCGAATATAAATACTCCACCGATGGGACGTTTAATATGGCCACTTTTCCTAAAGTTTTTTTCGTCCAAACTTTTAGCTCCGTTTACGCATGAATCTCTTGGAACTATGCGTGTAAGTAATTACTGCTTCACAATTAGTTTTTTCTTTTTTTTTTTTTTTTTATTTCTCCTCTATACTTTTGATACATTTCTCCTTAATAACGTAAATTGTCGATGGGTTTAAATGAGAAAGCAATAAAGTAGTACGTTTGTATTAATTTTACGTGTTCTTATTTATACTAGTTCATTATTTTCAAAATAAGTTTTACGACACGAAGAAAGGTTAAAAAAAAAGAAAGAAAGAGATGGGCGAAAGTGGAAAGAAAACTTATTTCACAAGTAAAAGTTCTTTTTCTTTCTTATATATATATATATATATATATATGGTAGGAAGTACAGGTTCCTTTTTATTAGTAAGAACAATTACCGCAAAGTGCTTGATTCGATAAAACTTAGCTGGTCTTGTTTTCGGGCGCAATAGAAAGGAAAAAAGAAAATAAGAAGATGGGAAAAAGGAGACTTGACGTCTCAAACGAAAGAGTAAATAAGGAAAGAGCACGAGATGATGAAATCGAATCTTCCCGCGCTTTTCTATTTTTCCCTGGTGTCGTTTTCTTTTCCACCTGGTTTACTCGTGGTTCCAACTCGTGAGTTCTTTCTTACACGTAAAAAATAAGAAAAGCAAATCATTAGATTTCCCATAAGGTTTCAATTTTATTTCCTTTTTTATTTTTCTTTTCTTCTTCTTCTTCTTCTTTTCTCGAATCTTAAATACGTCTTCAAGAAAAAATATATTCCGAAATATCAAAAAGATTTATCTCGAATTAATCGTACGAGAGTAAAATGTGTACGCTAAGCGAGATATTTTGATACTATCGAACATCATCGATCGAATGTTATTCGGTACGTCGAATAATTGATGCTTCGTTACTCGAGTATACTCGCTTTCGCTGCGTTAGTTATCGGAAACATAACAAAAGAGAGAAAGATAGATAGATAGAGAGAGAGAGAGAGAGAGAGAGAGAGAGAGAGAGATATTGTAGTCTGTTCAATTTATTTATTCCAACGTGATGTTGTGTGCTAAGAGAAAACTGATTGTGAAAGATGAAAATCATTCGATCATTCAAAAATCTAATCAATTCAATATAAATCATTATAAATCATGAATGTTTATC